AGGCTGGCAGGTGCCAGAGTCCTGGGGCCAGAGCTGGGCATGCACCGACATCGGCTCCTCAGGGGATCAGCAGGTGAAAGGAGTGGGCAGGACTTGGGGGGTGAGGGACGTTCCCCCGGCCAGGGGCTGCACCCCTGCCCCTTCCCTCCTGCATCTACCAGGCCCTCTGGGATCCGTCCCACACCGATTATGGAACGCCTGGGCTCTGCTGCAAGTTGGGAAGACCCAGGGGCGAGGCCAAGGAGGCCTCCTCTGCAGAGTGGGCCACAGCCAGCCTCTGGGCCCCCCACCATTCCCAGGGCCAGCACAGGCCTCTCAGCCTGGCTCAGCCATGCACCCTCAACAGCTGGCCCCCATGCCACACCTCCACACGGCCCACTCTCTCCAGTGCGCAGGGTCTCTCAGAAATGCCTCCATCTGCATGTTGACACAGCCTCTTTGTCCACTGCCCAGTGCCCAGGGGACTTCCTGCCCCTGCCAGCAGCCTGTGCATCGGATGCCCGGCAGTCAGGTGCCACGTCCTGCCTCTGGCTTGCCTGCCACCAGGAGCAGGGCCCCGGATTCCAAGGTGAGCAGCTTGCCTGCCTCACTCTCCGCCTCCATTATCCCACCTGGAGTGGCATCCCATACATACAGGAGCCACGCCCAGCTGTGGTCCTCCACACGTGGCCCTGACCCAGCAGCAGGTGACAGGCAAGGGAGGCCAGGGGCCTGGCCTCCTCGGCGGAGGGAACCATGGGGAACCCGATGGTGCCGTTGGGGGCCACGTGGCTCCAGTGCTGTGGAGTGGGGCTGGAGGTGGACCCGAGGCCCTGCTCGGGCATCCAGATGCGGAGCCCCGCGGGCCCAGCAGTGGATCCTACTTCCCTCCTGCACAACACCGTTTCTGACTCCAAGCCCTTCGGGCGCCGGGGGCTCAGGCCCGCAGGGGGCTCAGGCCAGCAGGAGCTCAGCCTGCCCCCCAACCCCAGCCCTGCAGGGGACTCCTGCCCTGCACCCCAGTTCCACAGAGGCTGGGGTCTGAGGATCCAGAGCTGTACCCAACAACCTCCCTCCTTCAAGCAAACACGCGGGAAGCAGAGCTGTGGCCCGAGTGCTGGAACACCGGCCGTACTCAGGCCGTGAGTTCAAGCCCTGGGGCAGTGGGTAACCCTGAGGCTCTGGGCCTCATCAAAGCTGACCTGGGGTCCTTGCTGCGAGGGCGAAGGG